TCTGACGTTTCCATATGAAAGTTTCACATTATTAAACATAGCCTTCCTTAGACTTTTTGGCAAAAAAGCGTTACTTGTCCTGCGACGATTTACTAAGACTTTGGAAGTGGATTATCAACTAACTTCCACATTTGACAATGAAGTTCCATCCTTTGCCACTGTGAAATGCTGATACAATGATTTTAATCGTGGCCGCAGTACACTCTCTGACAAAATTCGTATTTATGAAGGTTGTCACAGTCAGAAAGGTTTGTTCTCGTTAGTACTGTCATCATTTGACAAAATCTTCAAAAGTTACACGTGTCGATTGGTGCACACAAATGCTCAAAAAGTGCTTTGGCGGTGCTTAAAAAGACTTATATAAGATTGTTACAGGTGACAAATCGTGGATATAAACGTATGAGCCGTAACTTAAACAGCAGTCGACTGTATGGGTGTTTCGAGGTGAACCAAATTCAACAAAAGTTATTCGCGCTCGATGCACTCGACGAAATAAATAATCGCTTATTTTTTCGGGAAAACTGATCATGTGGCAACTATACTATTACAGGAACGTAAAACGGTTAATTCCGAATGGTACACAATCATTTGTTTACCGGAAGTCTTCAGTGAAATACGAAAACATACAACCGCCGTCGGATCATTCTCAATCAAGACAATGCGATTGCTCATACATCTCGTCTAACGCCCCACTATTTTAATAACCAAACATTCGAAAAATCGAATTGATGGGTCAACCGCCGAAGAAGTGACTACTTCTTGTTCCCGAACGTCAAGAATAAATGGCGTGGGCCATTTACGACGATATTTGTCGTTGTCGGCAGAAGAAGCCGTTGTTGCTTTTAAAAAACATATTTTGGAGATGTCTGAAGAAGATTGGAAAAAATCCTTTGACAAATGATTTGAACACATGCAAAAGTGTATTAATCATAAAGGAGAATACTTTGAGAAACAATAAAGCAATTTTGAACAAGTTAGTATTTTTTCATTATTAGACTCAAAATATAAATAGTGACCTTCGTAAAGTCCGATTTTAGTAGATTCGGCAACTCGTAAAGTGCCGATAAATTGCATTCACACATCACATTAGAAAATAGGAAAAACAATTGTACCAAACTGCACTAAAAAAACGAAATAAAAAAGATTATTTAAAAAAGAATATTTAAATTTGCTAGCTAACTGCACCAGAAACACTGAACACAAATATGGCAAAAAATTAATGTTAATTATCAAATAATTTGACAACAGTTCGCATTGCCATGACAGTTAACAAAAACAAGTGTAGCACATTCAAGTGTACAAGTAAAAAGCTAATGTCTTCTAGTGCCTGAGATTACCAAATTTTTTTCTCAGAAAATTTAATCATTTTTTGGTACAATATTAAATTGTTAGTGTTTTTATAAAATCTACCTTAAAAACCACCTTTAATGCTTTCAGTTTTGCAATAAAATTCATGTTGACTTTTGACTTTTAAAAGTTTACCAAAAACAACAAAAATTACATACCTTAAACAGATCTCTGTGTGTGTTTCTGTGAATATATATAAATATATATATATATGTGTGTGTGTGTGTGTGAGAAAGAGAGAGGGAACATGCATTCGTACATTTCATCCATACAAAGTAAATGTAATTTAAAGGAATTTCACCACAAATAATGGCTAACAAAATGAACAGTGCATACGTACACAACACACACGCACGCATAAAGGCAATCATTCGCCATTGGAGCAGGATAAGGTGCTTCACATACGTGTAGAATTTTCAAATTAACAGTGCATACGTATACATACACACACGCATAAAGGCAATCATACGCCATTGGAGCAGGATAAGGTGCTTCACATACGTGTAGTATTTTCAATGACCGTATTTTAATTGCACGTAGATTGTCATAAACTGAATTATAAAAAAAAAAGCAATGCGTCTAAAACCCAAATTGAGCACAATAAATGCATATCTCTGTGCCAACATTTACTAAACAAAACAAAAATAAAAATAAAAATAAAAATATTTGTTGTTATATCAAAGAATAAGACCTGAGTAGCCTTATAAAAATATTGACTACTACATAATTATTAATTTTGATCTCCATAACTTTCAAAGTACATTCTTTAAACATTCAGTTCACTTAACCAAATAAAAGTATTGATACTGTCGGCGTTCGCTTAAGAGAGGTTTCGCTGTATTATAAATTGATTGCAGCGATAGTAGAATTCATCTAACAGTTTATTTGGAAGTGCAGTTATGATATAATGACATAATAATAATTAATATTTGTAACACTAAATGATATTTGTAACAATAAACACTTCAAACTACTAGTCGTTAAAAATAATACTCTTCGTCCTACAAAAGATATATTTAAAATAGAAGGCACTTTAGTGTTAAAAAAAGTATTAGTTTTAGTGGAACATTCGTGCAACTTTCCTGGTGAGCTATGAGTGCGTATGGGTTACTTTTTTCCTTCTATCTTTTTATAACACACTTCAATGTCAGGTGATTACAGCGGTTTTGTAATCAGTGCATTTCATTTCTTCATCGGACATGTTAATTGTGAAAAACTCTGAAAATGAAATATATACATATATAATGAAAATAATAATTACTATTAAACTTTTTTGTTTGAGCTTATACAACAACATAATAAGTAGGGATCTCAACGTAGGGATTTCTCTAAGAAAGAATTTAAAGCAGAAGTAATAGTTATATTAAGTTTTAATAAGTTTTTAATGTTCGCGGCGGCATATGAAGAGAGTTTTGCACTTTCTGACGTTTCTACTGTCGTATTCACTCAAGTTTTTCATGCTTGTTGCTTTGTATTTTTTTAAATTTTTTTTTTGTTGTTTTTCAGCTATTTTTGTTTTCATACATTTGTCAAAGTTAGTGCTACAACACACAAAGTTTATCATTATCGTACACATAAGCCACAATGCCGCTCGTGTAGTAAGTACAAATTATGCAGAATTTAGTTTAGTAGTAACACAAAATGCTAATGGAAAATGTGCTTTAGCCATTCTAACACATGCAACACATGTGAATGAATCCAAAAAAAAAAGTCATGGAAGTAACGTAATGCACACATTATACATATAAAACGTAGGTAAAAAATCATATGAACGATAGTTTGCAACACACACATGCACGTACACATTCATATTTATATAATACTGTATGTACTTCTTATTTAATAACAATAGCAAACACAACAAAACAAAAAAAAAAAAGAGAAAAAATAAAAAATCGACAACTAGCAGCAGCAACAGCAACAGCAAATCATAAGATTTACGTACAACCATAATCGTAGATCCACTTTTAGTGTTACACTGGCATACAGCATGTGCACTGCATCGCATGTAGCTTAATTTTCGAGCAATTACATTTTGTTCCAAAGCAATTCTTATTTTTTTTATTTGTCAAATTACGGTATTTATGTTGTTAGTTAAAATTAGGCAAGAGTGTCTTGTCTTTTGTTGGTTTCTATAAAAAGTAGTAGCATGAGAACTTTTTGTGCTTACATACCTATTCATAAGAATCAAAACGAATACTTATGGAAAATTAAAATACAAACTATGTTCATTTAAATCATAAACTTGACTATGAAAAATTATATATAATTTTTTTTAGATCATTAGATCTTAGTACAATAAAGTTCGAGTAATCCCATGAGATGTTTATGTTCGAAATGTGTGCTGTATGCTGTGTGCATTCGTTTTTTAAGAAAATACAGTAAAAAATACAGAAAACATGTCAATATGTCATCCTAAACTTACCTAACAATATAACTCTTCTCCTTTTCCGAAAATTAAGCGTTTGAGTCAGTGGAAGAAGAGGAAAATGTTACTCATCCACTCTATCTTCATTAGAACAACTAATGAAGATAGAGTTGCATTAGAACAACTTAGTGATTTCTTCTATTACTGATTTAAAGTATATGCCCCAACTTAAATATTATTACCGGAATTTAAAACTTAATTGTAAGAGACACATGCCTCAAGATAATCACGTTTTCCCTTTCTTTCATCTATATTCCTTCAGGAACAGCTGACTATTCAATACTTATCAAAACAATAAAATTGCAGAATATCTGAAACTGTTCAAAAATTTAAAAAAAAAATTTCATATACCAAAGTATCAAGATACTAGATAATGTGACTGCAGCTAATTGCAAATACATTATTAATAAAAACCAATCTCTAAACAATATTTTAAGTCTAAACTTTATATTTATCTAAAAAAGTTAGTGAAAAAGTGCAGTATTTGCTTTCGAGGCAAAATTAATATTTAAGCACGTTGCACCAACATAATAGATTTATTGTAGTAAAAAATCATGTCACTTTGTATAAAACTATACACACTCTGAACACACTCTCAACACAATGAGAACTGAAAAGGAACAGCAGACGTGTTGACGACAATTATAAGGACACAGTGAAAGTATCAAAGGACTAATACTTGAGAAGAACACAATAGAATAGGAAAAAAATGAATTTTCCCTAACTTTTCCTGTGCTATATTATGACATGTGGCATGTGCATGTGGGTGGTGAGCATTACACACACACAATAATGTATTCATGTATGTTTGAAGGCCTGTGTTTACACATTGTAATTTTGATTTGTCACACTTTTTTTTTTGTTTTAACTTTGTTCTCTTTTCGATGGTTTTATTTTTGTAACAAAATTTTTTTTTCGGTTTCTGTGTTGTTTTTGCTGTTGTTGTGTGGTTAATTTTTCTTTTCAGTAACATTTGTAGGAGCTTTTTTGTTGGAGTTGCTTGGCACTTTGTTTTTCTAAAAAAATTTTACTCACTATTTTGATTTTCGATTCTGAAAGATGTTTTGAAGCTACAAATAATTTCTCATTTGAACAGAAAGAATCACTCACAAAATTGCTTATGACCAAAAACTTAAAATATTAATTTTCCTAATGTTAATAATTTTCCTACATTATTTGAAACTTTAAATTTTATGTCAAGTTTTTAATACAAAATTTTGGTTACCTTGAACAATTTTTATCGCTTGCTGAGATGTACTGTAGTTATCTTAAAAGTATTTTATATGTTATAATTTTAGATTTCCATTTAATTTTACTTATTCGATTCGATTTATATTCTTTCAGTAGTAATTTTATTGCTTAACGATTATTATTTAGCACCTTTTTGTATGCATGCATGAGAATAGAGCGAAGTGGAAATATTTATTTAATTTTTAATTTATAATTTTATCACTTTATTTCAAATTAAAAATTATCGCAAGATAATAACTAACATGCAACAACAACATTCGATGGACTAGATTTGGTCGTAATCACTAAACTGACACCAACCAATTTTAAATAATAGCACAGCACACAGAGAACGAAACGACGAATAGCGAATAGCAAATAGCAAACAGCAAACATCCAACAGCAAATACACTTTTTTAATTCCTTTAATGTGGCGCTATAAGTTTATTAAAATAATTATATAAAAGTGATTATTGAAAAGTTTTCGCTTTTAAATGACAAATAACACACATACTTATACTCATATGATGAGAATGTAGATACTTTGAAATATTTACTAAACTCGGACGATTTAACGTTATTGCCAAAATTTCTGATATCGTTCAAATATAGTAACACTTTATTCGCTTTTTTGTTTTTATTTCTTTTTTTTTTGTTTTTTGTTTTTTCTTTTGTTGTATATTATCGAGCGCTACAATTTTTGTTACAAATTTCGATACTCTAAAGGGGAGGAGGTAAATTGTAACCACGAAAGTATACACAAAATCCTGTTGTATTAAAATTTTCTATGTCATGCAAACGAACAAGGAAACAGGAAAATAAATATTCAAGTAAAAAATTTTATATTATACCGTTATATGTGATCAAATTTTTTTTTAGTTTTATATTTTATAATATAAATTTATTTTTATTATATTGGAAATATTCTACTGGTTTTCAATTTAAACTTGGAAAACTTTTTTTTTTGTTAATTTCGTAACAAACGACAGCAACTGACACTCACTAATGTTGCAATCTCGACAGTAGAACAACGACTCAATGTGTGAAAAATCGTAGCCCCACATTGCTAAAAGTCCCCCGCAGTCCTCCCGTCAAGTCAAAACGGTTCGGTTCTCATCTATTAGTAGTTCACGTGAGTAGAGAGTTTCAATGCGCTGGAGCTCTTGCCAAAGAGAAATAGTAGAGTAAATGTAAATTCACATGAGACAGAACGCTAGAGGAGTTAAGAACTTAAAATGTCATTATTCTAAATGAAAAATTTAATACATACAAGCACTCACACGTACTGATACTACATGTGCATGGTGGGTTATAAACACTGTAAACATACGGACAGTATTACAAAATAACGCAGAGTTGCCAACGTGGAACAAACATTATACAATATTGCATTACAATTTTAATATTAATGACATCGTTTGGTAAGCAATTATACTTATTACAATACTATTATTATACTATCATAAACATATATATATATCCATTTATATATATATATTATATCCATATATATATAAAGTCTGTGCATTAGCAGAAGTTTTCATCTAAATGAATGACTCACACATATACATACGTTATTTTTAATTTCTGTAGTCAATTGCGCAATGAGGCATGTCCAATGAACTCTTTTATCTTTTTAATATTCAAATGATTTCAAGCGTTTAATTTTTTTAAGTATTTTGTTAAATTCTAAATTCCCAAATCTGGAATCATATGAATAAAAGCAAATCGTTTATTTTGAACACCAAGCGACATTTATATATAAAATTGTTAATGCTTCGTAAATACCATATTTAACTTAAAAGTACGTTAGTTGTTATTTACTGTATAAAATTAAAAAAAAAAAAGGAAAAAAAGGTTTGCTAAATCATAAATGGTCCATACACAGATAATGCTTCAAACCAATTATTTACTAATAAAAACAAAGGGAAGTGTAATTGATTAGCTCACAGTGTAAATTAATTAATAATGTAAATTAAATTGAAGTTGAGTTTTAAATACTCATATTTAAATTTTTTATTAAAAATACAGAGTTTTTAACGAAAAATCGATAATCCAATATACTACTGTGCGTGAAGACATACAGCAATATATAAAACTGAGAATTGCAGAAAGCATTATAAATATGCTTTTATAAATAAGTAAAAAATATTATAATAAACCAATAAATGGTTTAGACTTTGCAGAACTAAATGCAACAATTTCAAATAAGTTATGAAATTTGATAACTATAACGATTGCAACCATATTTGCAAATTTAGATTTTAGAAATAATTCAGCGTATATATATATTTTCATAAATCTATGGTCTTCTTAAATAGTTATATTGTCTACTATTGTCTTAATCTAATAACTAGTTTGATTAATTAGTTTGATAGTACGAATTGACATCCAAACGAAAATTGCTTGATAAATTACTTTCATCATCATTATCATAAGGTATAAGCACAGTTTGTTTGGTTTGGAACTCGTTGTATAACTAGATTATCAGAATATATATAATCGGTTTTTGACTTCTAATTCATTATGTTTTGAATATATATATATGTATAGTGATGTATAGTGCAATTTGACTGATATAGATGTTTCTAAAATATTATCTACTTGCTTTTTGTAGTTGCTTTCGAATGATTGGCTCGAATGATTGGAGTTTCTCAACTTCAAATTAATCTATGTGTACTGAAGAAAACCAGTCATAATTAACTAAAGGAGTTAAGTCAGATATTGAAAATTCTCTCATTATCAATAGGATGGCAGAATTGGTTGATATATCCTATCCGCAAAAGTTTTGTTTTGTACATAGTTTTTACAATTATATATATATATATATATATATATATATATTTAATCCTTTAGCTCCTAGGAGGAGCATAGGGCCGCAGTGAGTTTTTGCAATTGCATAGCTTAAAAATGTAATAATGTGCTTTTTAAGTCCACTCAAATATATAAATTTATGCAGTGAAATAATTGTAATCGTTATTATTGTAATACAAATAAATTTTATTTTATTCGAAATTAATTTAGGAAAAAAAATGATATTGTATTTAAATATCAATCGAAGAATTGATAAAGCCTTATTTTTATTAAATTAATAAAACAGTAAAATTTTTAACGTTGTTCTATTATTCTAGCATAATTCACACATTTATAAATAAAGTTGTAAAGTAATTGTATTCACTGATGCATCCAGTAAGCATCTGTGAATAAAAATCACTAGTCTTTAGTTACTCAATCAAAGTACACAACAACGTCTATGGCAACTCTATAACTAGACCTATTTACAACCATTTATAAATACATACATATTAGTAACAATGGTTTTGTGCACATACTACACATTAGCAGTTCCAGCGGGAAAAGCTTACCAACATACCGTTCCAACGAGTGTCACGAGTACAAACCAAAATAAATAGGTTAACTTAAATCGTTTTTCACATATTTTCCCATTGGGCCACCAGCGGCCGCAATCTGACAAATGTATGGGTGAGAGTATGTCGCGCCAAATGATTTTGTTTTTTATAGTTTTTGTACACAAACGACGAACGGAAGAAGTGGGTGAAACTGAAACGTATTTGGCTCAGTGCTTTTAAACGCTCTATATTATAATTTGTTCTGCTCACAATTTACATACCGAGACTCTCATCATATTTTCCAAGGCTACAACAACAAATATTCATACTTGAATGTATATGATTTCAACGAATAAAATCAGCAACCCCCACACAGCAATATTTGCCGAAACTACTCTATTAGCAGAGAGAGCAAGCCAAAAGATGCGAATTTCTTTATAAAAAAAAAATATCGTCTCTTTGCATTGCTCTTATACAATTGCCATTGTCATTGTCAACCGCGCGTTAAAAAGCTTTAAATTCAAGCCTCCACAGAAGTGTTTTGCGCCCACTTTGTTGTTAATTTACCCAGTGGCTGATGAAAGATTGTCTCACCCGAACGTTCTAAGGATTTATCATGATGTGCATTGAAAAAATTCACAATTAAAAATATTTCTTGGATCTAACTTTAATCTTTTAGATCTACGATTATCATTATTTTCTGACAAGACAGGTTACAATGATAACATACTACAGCCTAAAACATATATGACAGATTTTATTTTCAATAAAGTGTTCAGGTCCTTTAGAACTGAACTTTAACATATAATTAAAATAATATATATTATATAGTTGCTAGCGCTATGGTTCCTTCACTTATTTATAAAACCACATGGTGTTTTCACTCTAGGCTAAGACTGATGCAAACGGTAACGTGTCTATCAGTTTAACAATAAAAAGTACTTGTATTCTGTTGTTCCATATCCGAATTACTTAAGCCAGATGCTAAATTCATATAATGGAAAGCATGAAAAAACACAATACACCACTTACTTAGAAACAATACTTCGAAACAGTGCTAGAAAAACTTATGGGTAATAGAATAGAATAATATATATGTTTTTATCGAGTTATGGGGATTTTTAAAAAATCAGAACTATGTAGGAGAATGGATAGTCTCATACTGGTTCAAATAAATTTAACGTAAGAATGGTTTATTTATAGCAACAAGTTTGCACTAGAGAAAGAAATTCAAGCAAGCAAGACATCCAAATGGAGTGAAGAAGATAGCAACAATTGTAACTAGCTGCTGTTTTACTAGCACACTCAAAGTCTTACTTCAACTATTACTTAGTGATTATTACATTTAGCAGTTGGCTATTTATTTTACCAAACATAAAAAGACTCTAAACACTCACTTATCGCCTATAAGCCTATAAGTATATTATCATCTTTTTTACTTCGTAATCTGTTTAGGTTACAGGGGTTCTATTTCATATATCAATTCCGACATTTTACAAGATATCTAATCTATATATCTATTTTTACAAAGAGCAGAACAAATTTTATAAGGACCAGAATCAAATTACTTACAAGAATAATTTTTAACAAAAAACATGTTATTTCTAATATTTTTCTAGTACTTTCTTTTATTAGCTCGTTACATTTAGTTCAAAATTCTTCAAATTTTCTTATGCCTTCCAAATAATTGAATCCTCAGGAGCACTTTTTTTGTTTCAAATCGATGTAAAATCTGTCCAACAGCTCTTAATATAATACTATTTGTCGGCGAACGTTTTACCTCATATAAGATAATCTATGTAAGCGATACCGTTTGCATCTCAAAAAGTCTGTAAATGATATAACTGACTCTGCACCATCAAAAATGGAATATTAGCTATATGCATGCGATCTCAAATAAAGTTCATAAAGTTGCTGAATTAACAACTGCTCCCCTGTCAACGAAAATGAAAGACTAGCCGTAAGAGATATCGATAAATTCTTGTCTTAATTGTTTGATATTTATTGGGTTTTTTTTATATTGAAGTAGGTAATAAATAAGTAATAAATAAGAGTTGTAGAAACCTGAAACCCCTTAAACATTATTTGGTTATATTTGTTGTATTAATCTCGAAACGCAGTCAATAAAGATCCCATATCTGTGCTGATTTTTCGCACGATCTATAAAATACCCCCAATATACCTCATCAATTGATAAAAACCCTTTTTCACGTAAAAAGTTGTTTTGGTCTAAAAAAAGGCAGAACTCAGAGACAGTTAAACCTGCAAATGGT